TGCTGCGGGAGCTGCCCGCCCTCAAGGCCGGCGTCGTCGGGGCTTGCGCCGCCAGCGCCGCCGTCGTCGCCTGCCTCCTCCTCCGCGTCTTCAGGTGCCCGCGCCGCCCGCCGGGGGGTGGGTGGGGGGAGATGGAGGGAGAAAGGGGGCCCATGGCAGAGGCCGGGCCCCGATCCTGCGCGATGAGTGGGGGGCTGCCGGGCCTCGCCCTCTGCTGCGGCCGGGAGGGAGGCCAGGCCGCCGGTCTCCTCCCCACCAACGCTCCCTCTAAGCTGTGGAGTCCTGTGAGCAAAAATTCTACTTTCTGAGCTCCTGGCATGAAAGTTGTGAGCAGGTGATTTGGCTGCTGCATGAATCAGTTTGCCCTGGAGCCGTCCTTCCTGAGCTGAGACAAAAACGTGTGAGCTGGAGGCTGAAAGATGGTGAGCTAGCTCACACTAACTCAGCTTAGAGGGAACACTGCTCCCCACCAACGCTCCCTCTAAGCTGTGGAGTCCTGTGAGCAAAAATGCTCTTTTGTGAGCTCCTGGCATGAAGGCTGTGAGCCAGCGATTTGGCTGCTGCCTGAATTCGTTTGCTCCGGAGCCCTCCTTCCTGAGCCGAGACAAAAATGTGTGAGCCGGAGGCTAAATAACTGTGAGCTAGCTCGCACTCACCCAGCTTAGAGGGAACACTGCTCCCCACCAGTCCTTGGGTCAGTTGGCAACGCTGCATGGGGAGGGGGACGGACGGACTGACGGAGTAGGAACGGAGTAGGAGCTCTCGGTTGCCGGAGGTGTTTGCTAGGGAGGCCAGCCTCCAGGTGGGCCCGGAATTAGAGCTCTAGGGGTTAGGAGCGCGGACTCTAATCTGGGAGAACCGGGTTTGATCCACCAATTCTCCTCCGCATGTAGCCAGCTGAGTGACCTTGGGCCAGTCACAAGTTCTCTCGGAGCTGTTCTCTCCAGGGCAGTTCTCGAGAGAGCTCTCTCAGCCCCACCGACCTCCCAGGGTGTCTGTGGTGGGGAGGGGAAGGGAAAGGAGGTTGTAAGCCACTCTGAGACTCCTTCGGGTAGTGAAGGGCAGGGTAGAAACCGAATCTCCTCCTCTCCAGACTACAGAGATCAGCTCCCCTGGAGAGGGAGTCTACAGTTGCACCTTAAAGACTAACCAAATATGGGGCAGGGTAGGCGCTTTCCTGAGTCACTGCTCACTTCTTCAGATACCGCATGTTTGGTGAGTCTCATAGTTATTCAGGTGCTCCTGGACGCTTGCTCTTTTTTGCTGCTACAGACAGACTCACACGGCGACCCGTCTTGACCTGTCTCCTGGAGAAAATGGATGTTCCCAAGGGTGACCTGTATAGTGTTGTACAGTCCACCGAGGTCCCCGTCCTCCCCGGGCTCCATCCCCAAATCTCCAGGAGTTTCCCAACCTGGATCTGGCAACCCTGCCCCCTCCGGTGCTGGTGGCCGGTGGGACTTTGCAACCTCAGCAGAGCCGGTTTGGTGTAGTGGTGAAGTGCACGGACTCTAATCCGGGAGAACCAGGTTTGATTCCCCACTCCTCCACTTGCAGCTACTGGATGACCTTGGGCAAGTCATAGTTCTGTCAGAGCTGTTGTCTCAAGGGCAGTTCTGGAAAGAGCTCTCTCAGCCCCACCAACTTCACAGGGTGTCTGTTGTGGGGAAGGGAAGGGGAAGGAGTTCGTAAGCCTCTCTGAGACATCTTTGGGTAGTGAAGGGCAGGGTATAAATCCAATCCCTTCTTCTTCCTCTCAGCTGAGTTAGTGTGAGCTAGCTCAGTTTTTTAGCCCCTGGCTCACACATTTTTGTCTTGGCTCAGGGAGGAGGGCTCCCGAGCAAACTAATTTATGCAGCAGCCAAATGGCTTGCTCACAATTTTAATGCCAGTAGCTCACAGAGTAGAATTTTTGCTCACAAGACTCCACGGCTTAGAGGGAGCATTGCTGCCTAGTGCATTTCATGGCAAGGGGGGGGGGTAATAGTGCAGTAGAATATTTTAACATACGTTTTTATCCCTTCATCCTTGCAAGAAATATGGAGTGGTGTACAGGGGTCTCCCTTTAGATGTTAAGTTTCGGTGATTCCACTGTGTGTAATGGAAATTATTTTTATTTGTTTTACTCCGCCGATGCCCCACCTTCCTCCCCGACGGGGGACCCAAAGTGGCTGACATCATTTCCCCTCTTCTCTGTTTTATCCTCACAACAGCCTTGCAAGGTAGGCTAGTCAGAGGGGGGGGACTGCTTCGAGGTCATTCAGCAGCTTTCGTGGTGGAATGGGGATCTGAACCCAGTCCCCAGTCCAACACTGTACCCCACTAGCTCACAAGAGCTCCGTAATTTTTACAAGAGCCCTATAAGGTAGTCCGATATGTATTTCCTCCATATTGCATGTAGCTGAGCTGAGGCAGACAGATCATGGCTTGCCTCAGACCGCCTTGCAGGAAGATTTGTTTATCAAGCTCCTTTTGAGTACACGGTGTCCTTTGCTTGTGTTTTCTTGGGACTATGCACAGTGCCCTTGCAGAGTAGCCCAGTGGCATGCAGTGTTCCCTCTAAGCTGAGTTAGTGTGAGCTAGCTCACAATTCTCTAGCCTCCGGCTCACACATTTTTGTGTCCGCTCAGGAAGGATGGCTCCAGAGCAAACTCATTGATGCAGTATCCAAATTGCTTGCTCACCACTTTAATGCCGGTAGCTCACAAAGCAGAATTTTTGCTCACAAGACTCTACAGCTTAGAGGGAACATTGGTGGCATGTTCCCTCTAAGATGAGTTAGTGTGAGCTAGCTCACAGTTTTCTAGCCTCTGGCTCACACATTTTTGTCTTAGCTCAGGAAGGATGGCTCCAGAACACACTGATTTATGCAGCAGCCAAATTGCTCGCTCACCACTTTAATGCCAGGAGCTCACAAAGTAGAATTTTTGCTCACAAGACTCCACAGCTTAGAGGGAACATTGCAGAGGACGGAACTGGCTTCCAGAGCTGGTGGTTTGTGGAAGGTTTCCTGGCCAGAATACTGAGCGCTTTCTCTATAGCGCTGTCCTGTCTTTTGAACACTTTGCTTCTTGCGAGTTGAAATTGCTTTAAAATATGAAATCTGGACCCTCCTCTAACTAGCAGACAATGCTTCCAAGCTCTTCAGTGAATTTCACATACATTAGCAGTCCTTCAACCGTGCCCGAAAGGTAGGCCAGCGTTCATTATTTTTGTGTCGCGGAGTACAGAGGCAAAATTAGAACCTGGGACTTGAGGGCTTGCAGTTTAGCTCCTACGCTCCTTGCAAGGAGACGTCTGTCCCATCAGGGATCTCCTCCACTGTATTGGGGAAATGACTTTCCTCTAAAATATTCTCATTCCAACCCCCCCCCCCGATCAGACGAATTGGAATTCCGCAAAGACACAGAGGGAGGGTCAGAATCCAGTTCTTCCCAAGGAGAATCTTCCCTCCTGCCTCATTTGCATTCCTCCTCTTAACTTTTGCATTACTACAGCCCCCCCCCCAATCTCATGTTTTAGAACGATTTCCTCCATCTTTGAACCATCGGTGACTGCTTGGGAGGGAGCGTTGATGGAGTTTGTGGGGAGAACCTTTTGCTGATGGAGAGAAAACGGCTGGGGGGAGTTTACCGTTTTGTTTATTTACACCAGTCTTACATCACCCGTCCACCCAACTTAGGGTCCTGGAGGCGGTGAATAATCAGAACCACTACAGCCGCGGTCACACGCACTAAAGAATCCACTTCTAATCCACTTCCAGTGCACTTTCCAACTGGATTTTTTACTGTGTAAACTGGCAGAATCCAGTTGTAAGTGGATTGAAAGTGGATTGTTTAGAGTGTGTGACCACAGCCTACAATAAGCTTTGAAAAGTACACACACACAGAGAGAGTTAAAAGTAACAATTAAGCAACAGTTTAATAACAAAAAACCCCCACTAAACACCAAACAATTAAAAAACAATTAAACATCAACAGGGATGAAGGTCAGAGAGGGAATGCCCAATAACCACTCCAGTCAATAGTTTGGCGGCAGCATTCTTGACCTGCTGTAGTTTCCAAATGCTCATCAAGGGTAGCCCCATGTAGAGCACATTGTAGTAGCCCAATAAAGTAGTTTTTACTTTTCATGTTGTTAGTGGGCCTATTTTTAAATGTACTACATTTATTGCCCCCCCTTTCTTGCCAAGACTCAAGAGGGATTGCAAAATATTTTTTTCAAAATCAAAACAGCATAAGACATAATAAACAGTGCAGTAAGACTATGCTTACAGAACCGGAAAACAAATGCAAACAAAAAGAAAAAAGGGGGTGGGGGAACCCTGCCTGAGGCATGATAATGCACTTCTGGTTGTACAACTTTCATTTTTAACCTGTATAATTTTTTTCAAATTATTTTTGGACCTCACTTTTTTGCCCTGGAAAGGTAAATTTGGTTTTGGTACTATATTGCAAAAAGAGCCTTGTATTACTGAACATGTCTTCCTTCCCACTTTGTTATACATGATCTTAACCAAGCAGTAGAAATGACAGTTTCCAGTATAATAAAATAATAAATTGGGAGCGGGGCAGGGTGAGCTTGAGGGAGCAGACGGACCTAGTGGGGAAGCTGAGAAGGAAAGGAAGGCCATGCGCGGAGATCGGGGCCCTTTTAATCCGAATGTGGCCTCCTCTGTTCTGCAGTGGTGGTAAGGAAAACGCTCTCCCAGAGCAGGATTAAACCATCATGCTATCAAGCAGCCGATGGTCCTGTGATTCTCTACCACCGTCCTCTTCTGCTTATCTGAAAATGGCCTGCTGGGCTATGCAGAAGGCCCCAGGTTCGATCCCCAACATCTCCAGTTAAAAGGACCAGGTAGGAGGTGATGTGGAAGAACTCTGCCGGATACCGTTTTATTTATTTATTTATTTATTTATTAGATTTCTAGCCCTCCCTCCCCTGCATAGCAAGGCTCTGGGTGGGTTCCAACAGTACAATGAATTACAATAAAATTATCAACACGATATCGAGCATCTGTTAAAATGCAATTGTAACGTCATTTCATTTACGGTGCCAATTGATATGCTTCTCCTGGCTCCACGCTACCTATGT